TATACTTTTCAACTGGTAAAGAATATGAATGACTACTAAAAATACAAAATACTAACTATGGTCGTAATACTGTATATCTACTTTTTTAAACTAGCAATACCTCCGTTAACTCCCTCTGTATCTCTTTTAGGGTTGCTGCTGGTCCCAATTATGGCGCGTATAGTGAAAGCTGAGATTTGTTGAAAGTCATGACGTCGATCCCACTTCTAACAACAAAAACAATTGATATAGGTACATGGAATATTATTATTATTAAAAATACAAATGTACGTTATTACCTAAACAACTATTACCGCTCAGTTATTCAACCAATAATTGTTCCGTCAATAATCGACTGAATGCACCAAAAAATAAGTTTTATTCTACCCTTTCTGAATTGATCAAGTAAAAATCCGTTCAAAAAACAAAATTTTTTGCTTTGTCACACAAAGTGCTTACAATTCTGGAAAAGTGCTTCAATTCACAATCAAAATGCACGATCCCAGTCAACTGAAGTAACACAACCAAAGGGGGAACAATCAATATGTCTACCGCCAACATTAAATATCAATTAAAGCAACATAAATGCAGTTCAGGAAGAAACATAGAAACTCAGTGAATGCAAAAGAAGAATGAGAAAACTGTAATAAAATATTATCGTCTCAAATGACATCAAAATGGCTAACAAAATGTAAAACTAAAGAAACTAATAAAAGCAAGTTGCAAATGTATGCATGGAGGAATTTTCACACACAAAACCTTAGAAATGGAACTTACACCTGAGCATCTCCCTTGCACATGGACAGTAACGAATGGCTTCCAACTGGTGACTATCGGCGTTTGAATGCAAAAACCGCTCTCGATTGTTACCCATTGCCTCACATTCACGATTTGAAAGGTACAACTGTGCTTTCGAAAATCGACTTGATAAAGCCTATAACCAAATTCCTATGGCTACTGACGACATTCCAAAAACCGCCATCATAACTCCGTTCGGCCTCTACGAATTTTTGCGAACGCCTTTTGGTCTAAGAAATTCTGCCCAGATTTTCCAAAAGTTCATCGATGACGTTTTTCGAGGTCTCAACTTCGCACATGCGTATTCTAATGACTGCTTGATAGCAAGTTCGGACAGAGAATCCCATCTCCAACATCCGTACATTGTGGTCGAACGACAGCAAAACCATGGCATTACTGTAAACATTCAGAAATGCCAAATCGGAACCGACTCCTTAAATTTCCTAGGACACACTATTGATGCTCAAGGCATTCGACCTCTTGGAAGCAAAATGGTGGCCATTATGGTTAACCTAGAACCGACCACCATTAAGCAGTTGCGCACATTTGACGGCCTTGTAAGTTTTTATAGACGGTTCATATCCAAACGCGCGTCCGTTTTGACCAACTTCGTGGTAATGCGAAATCCAATAACCTGGACGACTCCGCGCGCAAAGCATTCTCCACAGTTAGGGACTTATTGCAAAGGCAACTATGCTGGCACATCAGGACGCTCTAGTGCCCATTAGTATCGCAGTCGACGCATCCAACTCAGCTATCGGAGGAGTCTTACAACAATAGGTTAACTAATCCCGGTAATCTGCGGCATTCTTTTCGAGACGGTTGCTAGACAGTGAATCGAGGCACAGCGCAGTCGGCATGGAACTCCTATCTGTGTATTGTACTGTGCGGCATTTTAAGCACTCTACCGAAGGCCGAAAATTCACCCTTTTTCTGCTCATAAACCTCTTACCTTCTCTTTAGTCTCATCTTCAGATAAGTGCTTACCTCGTGAGTCTCGACAACTGGACTACATTTTGCAGTTCACCTCAAGCATACAACACATTTCCGGAGTAAACGATGTAGTTACCGACGCCTTGTCTCGTATAAGCTCCTTGAACAGTTTCCAAGGAATCGATTTTCCTAAACTCGTCCAGCTTCAAAAAGAAGACACTGATCTTCAGCACGAGTTATCCTCAACAACTCTAAGACTGAGCATTAAACAGATGGAAACAGGTAAGAAACCCTAATACGTGACACATCTACAGGTAGTGATCGTTCAATCGTGCAGAAACATTATTGACACAACGTCTTCATTACGTTGCACAAACTTTCTCATCCAGTCGTTTGTGCATCCACCAAGCTTATAGCAGAATGGTTTTGCTAGCCTGGTATGAATGATGATGTGGTGGAGTGGGCACACTCCTCTATAAGCTGCTATAAATCCAAGGTGATTGAGCACAACAAATAATTTTAGGCTCATTCAAATCTCCAGATGCTTGTTTCAACCATGTTCATTTTGAGTTGGTAGGACCTTCACCGGATTCCAATGGATACTCTGATCTCCTAACTTGTGAAGACTATTTACACGATGACCGGAAGCAGTACATATCAAAAACATTACTTGTGAAACAATGGTCCACGCCTTCGTCGATCGATGGGTAGCGAACTTCGGCTGCCCTCCAGCTACCACTACAGACCGTGGACGCCAGTTTGAATCTGCACTTTCCCGTTGTCTGACTATGCTATTGGGAATCACACGATTCCGAACGATGGCTTACAACTCACAAGCGAACGGGTTAGTAGAACGCTTTCACCAACAGCTGAAGCTTCAAACGTCTCATAGTGGACAGACGCTCTTACACTCATGTTCCTCGGTTTTCGCAATGCAGTGAAAGTTGCATTGGATACACTACAGCTCGACTCGTTTATGGAACGACATTCCGACATTCAAGAGGATTCGTGGATTCTTCATACTCTTCAAGGAATATGGATTCAAGCCCTTACACGGACAGGCTTACAACCGCAAAGCGTCCAAATAGACCTGTCTCAACTCGACCTCAATCAACTGACGTCTTCGTTCAACTTGCCTTACGATATAGTATACACGTTTTCACGCATAACGACTCGTTTCAACGACTTTTCGAAATTGTATACGAAGAACCCTTCAAAGTCCTCCAGCGTGAATCCAAGTGCTGTATCATCGATATGAACGGAACTGACGATAGCATCAGCATCGATCACCTCAAAGCCACGCTTCAGGAGGAAAACCTGTCCAAATATATTTTCCACCGGTATAATCGTAAGACACAAATCTCACAATTACGATACCTCACCAACAATCACGAGGACACTTCGGTGGTATCTGACAACAAAATAAAAACAATGTGTTCTGGAAGAAGAGCAGGGTTTCTAGGACACTTTGTTTCGTCTCGGTTTTTTCGTATTATTGTGTCAAAAACAAAGCAAACTAGTTTTAAGAATAAAACACGAAGTTCAGAGAAGGGATCTCTTTTCAACGAATTCATTATCAAACTGTACAATCGTATATATATGAAAATGTTTTGTTAAAGTTCTAATTCCGTGAGGAAATCTGAACACTAATAACCAAGATTATGATAAGATGAATAAAATGAATAAAATGTTTTGGTTACAATAATTAAAAGTCATTAAATGTCATAGAGGTGTAAAAATAAATAAGGTGATATGATGAGTATTCATGAATAAAATAATGAGAATATAGGACATAAGTAAAGGGGAAAGGAGTAATAATAATAATAAAAGAATAATAATAATAAGGCCATGGTAACGAGAATGATAAGATGTACTTCTTTTGTACTCATAGTTCTGGTTTGAGCTCATGAATGGTAGGAGCTTTGGCTATTTTTAGGAGTTTGATACGAAGAATTTAGGTGGATTTGAATGAATCTTATAAACAACCTTAAAATCAGATTGTTGATCCGTAGATTGATTACAGTCGAATAGGTGTTCAAGTATAGAACTCCCAACTGCCTTCTTTTATGATTTTAAGGTTGTTTATATGATTCATTCAAATCTACCTAAATTCTTCGTATCAAACTCCTAAAACTAGCCGAAGCTCTTACCATTCATGAGCTCAAACCAGAACTATGCGTACAAAAGAAGTACGTCTTGTCATTCTCGTTACCATGGCCTTAATATTATTATTATCATTCTTTTATTATTATTACTCCTTTCCCTTTTACTTATGTCCTATATTCTCATTATTTTATGGAGGTGACCCTCACTTAAAGTCAGTCACACCGACTGAATTTCTCGCCTATGACGAAGGTGAGATATCTGTCTATCAATTAAGGGACAAGTATACTGCACAGAAGTTTATTCTGTTCTACTCAACGGCTGCGAAACGTGGCTATTGATAGTAGGAGATACTTGTAGGCTACTAGTATTTGGCTACAGATGTCTATAAATACTACTCACTTCTTCTGGGATCACCGGGTATGTAATAGTGAGGTTAGACACAGGGTATTAAGTAATGATGGTAAATCAGTAGATGAGGCTGTAAATCTTGATCGACTGAGACGGTTGAGCCACGTGTAACGTGTACCTGAACACCGATTACCACCACGCGCAATGCTGACTAGTATATCGGATGGTTGTAGGAAAGTTGGGGGCGGCCAAACCATAACGTGACATTAGTGCTAAAAGCCACTAACTTCTAGTCTGAGCCATGTTGGTAGATGCAGACTACTTGGTTGGGACCCGTGTTACTATCGTAACCAATGGTTGGAGACTGTGGGTGACGTGGCCCAGAATCGATCGCAATAGATTAGGCGTATACAGTCTTTGTCTTCCCTTGAACCGTGAGATTGAAGTCAGTTCATACCTTTCTTTCTACCAACTAATTCTTTCCCCATGTATTATGCGAATTATTTCTTTTATATATTACTACCATTTACATAACCACTTCTATGAATTTGTTGTTCATCTTGTTGTGCTTATGATATATGGCAACTTGGACCGATGCATGTATGTGCCTGGTCCTACCTTGTAGCTGACTGACTGACTTTGAGGCTGAAAAAAAACGGAAACAACAATGTTAGCACTTTTTAACTGAAACCTCTCTCATAACCCAGACTCAATTTTAAAGGAACTAATAAGCTGTTATTTCTCCCTGAAAAATTATGGATTTCGATGTACTTGGCGACACCAACCCGAGAATTACAGAGCATATAAAAAATTCGAAAAAACAAATCAGAGAAAGACTTGCAATGAAGTAGGTGTAAAAGACAAAACGTTATAATAAGGATTATTATTTAGACTACCAAATGTATATCTTTTGTTTTACATTACCAATTGAGTGAACTTGTACTGGGAGTAGTTTGGTTTGTGTATATCTGGTCACGTATTTGTCTGCTAATTCACTTGGGCTCTGTATCACAAAATATGTCATCTATATGCGATGCATTGTTGAAGCCAGTGGCCCCAACAGATATCGAGCCTCGCTCTCGTAGCAAAGTAACTGTTATAGGTGTTGGAATGGTTGGAATGGCGGCAGCATTCTCAACTATGCAAGTAGCAGGAGAACTCGTACTTATTGATGTCGTAGCAGATAAAGTTAAAGGAGAAGTTCTTGACCTACAACATGGTCAACAGTTTTTTGGCAGGTGCAAAATTGATGGAGGAACAGACTACAAATACTCTGCAAACTCAGACATTGTCGTCATCACTGCTGGTGCCAGACAAAACGAAGGAGAATCACGACTGAACCTTGTTCAGCGTAATGTCGATATATTCAAGAAAATAATACCAAATATTGTCAAATACAGTCCGAAATGCATCATAGTTGTTGTGTCGAACCCTGTGGACATTTTGACATATGTTGCTCGAAAATTGAGTGGATTTGAACCCCATAGAGTGATTGGGACCGGAACAATGCTTGACTCTGCGAGGTTCCGTTTTCTGTTAGGTGAGAAATTGGGAGTGTCTGCCAATTCTGTACATGGATATGTAATTGGTGAGCATGGTGACTCGAGTGTTGCTGTTTGGAGTAATGTGAATGTTGCTGGAGTTCGGCTTTCCTCTCTAAATCCGAAGATAGGATGCAAGGGTGATCCTGAGAACTTCGAAGAAATACATAAACAAGTTGTCCAGAGTGCCTATGACATTATTCGCTTGAAAGGTTATACCTCATGGGCAATCGGGTTGACCTGTCGATCACTTTGTAATGCACTATTAAATAATCTTCACACAGTTTATCCACTCTCTGTTCCTGTCAAAGGAATCCATGGAATCAACGAAGATGTTTATTTGAGTTTACCATGTCTCGTTACTTCAGCTGGAATCAGTCATTTGATCCCACTTGAACTTAATGATGATGAATTGTGTAAACTGAGAAAAAGTGCTGCCACTCTGAATGAGGTTATAACGGGAATCAAATGGTAAAGTCGTACGACTCATGGTTGCCGCATGTTTACGTACCAAAGAAAACTAGCTTTTCGACCTTTCATGTATGTTCTCTCTGTTTTTCAATTAGTAAGTATTAGATATGAAGCTTCGTAATTTTCGTTTCTTGGGATTGTTTGTTAAATTTTTATCCAAAGAATTAAACATAAATTAATCTGGTAGATATATAAACAGCTTTCCTTCTATACTATTAGCTGTAACAGTGCGTGATCTGAGGTTTGCTTAGCTACAGTAGATTATTTTGCTCACCCTTGGAAATTATTTAGGGATGATTTACATTTCTGTCATCTTACAAATCAGGTTTTTATGATATCACACATTGTGAAGAGGTTTCACAAACCGTCTTTTAGCTTACTATGCGGAGTTGTAGCACATATAATTTGAGTTTGTAATAGTGTGATATTAAGAAAGAAGGTTCGGTTTTTTGTAATCGTTTTCTGACAGAAATAGGTTGTTGGAAAAAATTTGAAAATATCTCTGACTTCTGTAATCATTTGTAAAGTTTGACACTTAATCGGTACTGATTCGATGGTGATTTTGTCATTGAACTGAGCTGTTGGTTTACGATACCGTTTAATGTATTACTTCATGAAATCATCAATAAACTGTCATAGTGCATGTTTGCTTATATTCATTTCGAGACTACCCTAAACAGTAATAAAACGAAAACATCTATTTTAACCAGTTCAAAAATTATTTACTCGACTAAAGCTAGGTAACCGAATATCTATGTGACAAGGAGAAACTATATTAAGCAATACTCATCGTACATATAGTTTTTCAGTTATTTATTCTCGATACTTCCTAATCGCACATTTTGACAAATTTCTGGGGCTTCTATGAATTAAATGTTAGGTTAGAATCTAAATACCCCCCAAAAATATGTTTTATTTTTACACAGACTCATTCGTGATAGCTTTTTATCATCGTAACTAATATGACTTTAGTCTACGGATTTTTTAGTGGCCGCTTTTGTCAACAATAAACGTAATAATGTTTAAAAAGCAATGTCAGATTTCCAACATAGACTCTCTTGGCTTTTTAACTCATTAGTTAACAATCTTTAAAACCGATTCCCCGAATCCAAACACAGAAAGTCCATAAAAGTTTCATCTTAGAATAAAGTAGGCATTCATTCAAATGGTACTAACAAGTCACGAACTCTTATTAACAATTTTAGATTCAATGACTTGAAAAGTCATGTATATCCATATTCAGAAAAAATGCATTGTTTAGTATTTACGTAACCTCTCGTCGACACTAAACTTTTGGTTCAAAACTTCTAGCCAGGATGATACAAAACAAAAGCATATCAGCTGGTATACTATTCTAAGGTAAGATAATGCCTACTTATGTGAGATTGCTCGTACAGCTCCAATGATGCTCGCTTAATAGCTCGCAAATGTAATGATGGATCGCTATGAGTTTGAATTGCTAATAAAGAGAAACCAAAAGAATGCGTCACACAATTTTCAATGCCAATGATACAAAGAGATAAAATGGTAAAATGTCATACTAACAAAAAGTGTACGCTATTTGCATCTGTCTGTGTTTAGTAAATCGTATGAATCGGATATTTGTGTGACGTAATCGACATTCTAGCCAATCGATTCCTCTTTTCAATAATCAGGACGCTTTCATTTCATGCTAGTGTACGTGTTTATTGTTGTCGATATGATTCGATGTTAGACGCAAGTGCATTTTGCGAACTTACAATTCGTCGTCTCACTTTTGTCTTGTTCCTCTATATTTCTTATTCTCGATCACGTTTTACTTTACACACTCCCCCCTCGTTAGCAAACAACGCATCTTTACAATAAACGAAAGCCTATCAAAGTCTGAACATTACATCATTATAGCATTATCGTTCTTTTAATGACAAACGAAAGTAGTGTATCTCAGTGATAAATGACCAGGTCAGGGTACTGTGACCGATCACTGAACATATAGAATGATTTTGGGTCTAAGTAAGCCAATATTGAGACCCTCGACGGACTGTGAAACCATATATTTTGTTAGTCCGTAGGGTTATGTGATTGATTTCCTTGAAATGGAGATATATGTCTCAATCACTTCGAACTTAACCTTACCCGGTAGGAATTAGCGAATGATAGTTAAGGGTCAATTAGTAACAAAACAGAGATAAAATAGGAGAACGTTTAACTGGAAAACAATGGGATGGTATCTTCTTAGAGCACATAATAATCAGAAACAAACAGTAACGATTCATTAAAGGTCGTGATGACTGAAATAATCATGCACTAAATATTCTTCATGTTGAGTGTTATCGATGTGTACGTCACATACTCTCGACTAATTCTCAAGTCTGTGGAGTCTACTCAGATTTCACTTATTTACATGATTTATCTTCAGGTTCAAATCTTCTACAGAATTGGAGTAGTTAGAAAATCACAAGAAATGTCGACAGTCAAACGTAGTTGAATGATTATCATTTGATCCACAAATCCACAATAGACTGAATGGCAAACAAATTTTATTGTGGAAATAAGCAAACAATGCACGTCTATTTACATGTTTGACCGATTTGACACAGCACGCAACAGTACACGTAAAGAACAAATATTTAATGTCAAACTTCGTAACGATTCTACTGATAGATTGTTTTTAGAGGAAGTTAATCATAAGAAGTATAGTAATGTGACGGAGCAAATAGGAATCAGAAATCTTCATTAGGAGGACTGAGACATCCTGTCAAAGTTTGACTAATATACCGGAGGATGACTCCACTACATTTACGGGGTAATTATAATCATCTATTATTAGAGGGAAAATGGGGACCCTGAGAACGAAACAGCGACATAAAATCACCACATTAGGTCTACCGTTTTCATGTGCCAGACTGTTTTATGTTTTACTACAATGAGTAGAATGGAAGTTTAAAAATTAAGGTTAGTGACAACAACGGTTAAACACCTAATGTCTTTCTAATTTCTCCAGTGCAATGGGATATGGTCACATGTGTAAGTTCTGTTAAAGCGGTTTTAAAGGAGAGACCAATCAGAATATCGACCTCTATGACCTTGTCTCTGTGCTGGATTAGTGATGCGCTAACTAGTACTAGCAGCACTAAGTCAACACTGAGCCTAATTGGTCGTTTGTGTAGTAGCTTCTCGCCCAACTCAGACCGTCCATCCCACAACACAAAATTGGTCTCTAATATGTAAATCGTATATTTCAGACAAACATGGTTGATATACAGGTAAAAAATTCCCGCATCACACCAAAAAATGAAAAATAGTAATTATACAAGATCAATCTAAAAGTGGCTATGAGTATGGAATACTACAACCAATAAACTCGGAATATGTTAACAGTAGCCAATAGGTCAAATGGAAGCTTTTGGTAAAAGGAATATGAATATATACGTAATCTAGTTATTTAGTAATTATTCAGTAAAATGTGTGTAGTAACAGTTCATAAACAATTCTCAGCAATTATCATTCATCTATTATTTGTTCGTATATATCATTTTCACATAATGATATTGGAGTAAGAAATGGTCAGTAGATTTATTCAACCATTCTGAATAATTTGAATTTAGTGGAATGGGACTTTTACTCTCATAAACCAGTTTTGTCTACGTACCAAATGTGTCGACAACAATATCTGGGTAGTTTGCGTATGACAAACACAAAATCTCACCACTACATTACAGCCTAACTGTGTAAATTCCAACAGGAAATTTTGTATTTGAGTGTCATCTTTCCTACAAATGTAGTATGATAATTCACAAAATTCAGCTTCCCGAAGAGGGAAGTAAAGTGTCTTGATTTTGTGAATGGTCTGACTGATTTATTTACGACAAGCTTACGTTTGGTGGGTTTTCTAAAACCACTTCTCATCATTCTCCTTAAAATCAGTATCGGTCAAAATGAAGATAGACCGTAGTATTTGCCAACAAAATCTGAGCATCCTGAAGTTTAGAAATGTCGTACTAATTACTGAATATCGGTTATGTACAAGTAGTATGCACACTTTATTCGGAACCGAATGCCAAATTGGTGGTTTACAGCATTTATAGGACTGAGCTGGATATTTCCCCCTGTTGTGGCTTCATTCACTGGATTTTGAGACCTGATTGTCTTTCAAGTATTGATTCCGTTTCAATCGCCGGGAATTGTTACCAGCTGTTATGTGAAAAATTGACTATTTGTCATTTATCAAAATGATTCGGAAGTAGATTAGCCTAGTTCCAACACAAGTGAAGTTCACAGTCAACAATTGGAAGCAATCAGTTGACAAATGAGCAAAGTGTTTACAATATTCCTTTTTTGGTGATTGTAGTTCGTTCAGTTAAATATCTCACTGCCACTCTGAATAGGTTATTTCGAATTCCATTAAGACCAAGGTTTTCCTCCACTTAAAACTCATTACTTCGTAACCGCAAAGTACTCCTTTGTTCGCCTTTTGCATAACTGAAATTCGAGTCAGGTACTCAAAGAGAATGAATGGGATATAAAGTAGCATTTGTGATCCTTCAGAATAATTAGTCAGAACCTTATCTGGTGTATAGTTTCAGTGGGCTATTGAAGTTTAGCACCTTTTCATGCATTAAGTTTATGCTTGTCTTCTGGAATCACAAACTTTGTGTAATTGTGTTGGTGTGCATTATATATTCAACTCGCTATTCTATCGAATTATTTGCATTTTGATATACTGTATTAATTAGGAGTATGTGAATTATTATAGTACAAAGTAGGAATCCCAGAAATAACGCAGTTTAATTAAGAAGTACTAGATGACGAATGTATTGTATTTTGAATTCGAAATCAAGCAGTCATCAAGTACAAGGGGATCATCAGTTCATACAAACACCACAGATACCATCTTCAATGTCAAATTATAGATTACCTTCACAAACAAAATTGAGCTATTATTAAATTCCTGCGTACTGAATCGATGTCCATGTGAACTCTTTCAACCATTGTGCAAATAATCTTGATACCAATAAAAGCAAAGTATAGTATTTAGATGGATCTTTTAAACCAACAAGAGAAATGATAATGTTTTTTTAGGTAACTTTTAAAATTTATTATATTGTAAGTCTCATTTAATTACTTTCGTTAGTTAATTCCCATATAAGTACCTAATTAAATTTCTGTTGTTATTGTTATTGCTCCCTTTTTTATCTTTATCAATACCACATCTTTTTATTGTATTCTAGTCATATCACTAAATTGGTTTTAATCAATGATGAACCAATGCATTTACGGTGAATCTACATTATAGGAATAATTAATATTCCGTGCTTTATTTATGTAATTTGGTTAGCTTTCGGTGATCTGAACAAATTATCTTCTTAACGGATAACATAAATAACGAAGCCAAAAATCACCTTGTTTGAAATTCATATAGTGGCTTAGTTTCATATAACTCGTAAAAAAGCTTGAATAAATCTAATTCCAAATGGTTGTTATTTGTATGTGACAAATTAGACCGATGTATACTTATGAAAAGCCTGATGTTGTTTGTGTTTGAATGACTGTGATAATTTGAAGTATTTGAATTATAGTATGAACTAGCAATCCCAGGAATAACGCAGTTTAATTAAAAAGTATTAGATGAGCATGAACGGATGTACTGTACTTGTAATTCGAAATCTAAACAGTCATCAATACACGGGAATCATTGATTCATATAAACACCACATCCTCGATAGCTCTAATTGGAGTGTAAGTGTCTGTAATTGATTGTACATCTCCTTCTTAAGTTCAATCTACGTCTATCCGACAGTGAATTGGATGTAGACTCCGTATTATCTAGAATGAACTCGTTAGTATTAGAATTAACAACCGAAATGGGAACAGACTCACCTGATTCCTGGAATTGTATACAATCATCATGTCGTTTGTGGAGTGAAACCACTGTTATTTACAATTTAAATCATAGACTTTCCAACACTATCCTCCTCCACGAAATAGTGTTTGATCCTTACGTCGCAATGTTTTAGCCAATATGACGTTACCAATTTGCATTATCTTCTCAAATCTCACGCTTCGATTATTATATGTGAGTATTTGGGGATACACATTGACACGTAATTTGAGGCATTCCATCATGTGACTTTGACTTGCATAAAAAATCTGTCACATATTCTTTTGCTATGCATATTAGAATACACAGATAGATATGCATTGATATCTGTAATTAACACATGTGATTCATCTAGGCTTAATTGACCTGAGAAACAATCGAATGGAAAACATGCATGTGCCTCATACTCATTAGGATAATCTTGAACTTGATTTGGATTCTCTGCCTGTGCAAACTCTATATCTGGGCAAACTGGTTCTCTGATTGCTTCGAGAAAAACTGCTATTCCTTCTGATTCTTCGTACCGCTGACTAGGGATTCTACTCAACAAACATTGTTCGTGAGAATATCCAACATCTGATACAATAACATCAGAAATGTGACTAGAATTCGAATCATTCGGAACAAATTTGTCACATTCATTAGGAATATCATTAGAGATGAATTTATTGTGACGACGAATAACATTTGATATGATATCAGAATTTGATTTTTCTGAAATATTTACATCAAATTTATTAAGAGTTTCATTAGAGAATAATGGATCATTAGGAAAATTAGCATCCACCAAAACTGAACCTGGATTTTGCTCATGATTCGACTCATTCAAGATATTATTCTCACAGTTGTAATGAATTTCATCAGAAATATGCGAATTATTACGACAAACCATATCTGGTACAATAACACGGGAAATCTGATAAGAAGTTGGTTGATTGGAAACATTTGTCTCACAATGATTCTGGGTTGCATTCATCTCTATATTGCTATGTGACACTATATCGCTTCTAGAAGTCTTGGATAAAGACAAGTGATCATTAGAAACATATACCTTAGCATTAGTTTCAGGGAAATGAGCCATGGTATTACAAACTGACTGAATGTGTCCAGTTTTATCACATTTAAAGCATTTAGAATTATGAAATACACATGAATTACTTGGGTGAAACTTGCCATAGAACAAGCATTTAACAAACTTGTGCTCATCTTCACGAACTGTTTCACAATTTAATGAATTGTTATCCAAATAACCTTGATTATGTATCGAACTGTGACGACTTATTAAAGTAGTGGAATTCCTGATGTCCTGGAGAGTCATTTCATTGAGTTTTTCCTCTTTACCGCATTCGAAATTTGTATGCTTCACATGGTCCAACAGTAGTTCCTTAAGAGTTGCATAAGGGAGTGAAATAGGTTTGTCTGGAAGTGACAAAGTCTTTATAAGGCTGTATGGTTCTTTTCCGATGAATGTAAGGAAATGGGCCACAGTATTAAGATCCTCATCATTTTCCTTGGTCAAAGTCCAGATTTCGAACCTCTCCATGTAATCCTCAAAAGCACAAAAATCTGAATGTATATCCAACCGTTCCATCACAGGTTCAATCGTGACGCCAATATGATAATTTGAAGTATTTGAAATATAGAATAAACTAGTAATCCCAGGAATAACGCAATTTAATTAAGAAGTATTAGATGAGTACGAACGATGTACTGTCCTTGGAATTCGAAATCTAAACAGTCATCAATACACGGGAATCATTGATTCATATAAACACCACAATGACTCGTACTAATCTTTACTGTGTACCACAATGTCATAAAAGCTGGTGATAAAAGTTTACGTCATAATGAAAATATCTGAAAATGTTGCCAATTTCCGAAGACCTTTACAACACAATGATAAACAACGCATCTTTGTAGTCTAAAAAAATGAAACGTTGACAAGCGAATGCCTGATATTCTTGTACATTTTCATGATGTTTTCAAGATAATACTAAGATATATTGTTTCATATATATGCAACAAAATAACTGTTTGCAAACTTGATTTTTATGATTTGATGTGTTTAATTCATCAGTTGCTATCTCAAGTTATTTTTATCTAAAGTGTATTTTTTACTTGTCAAATATCGTTTGTATATCTCTGATCAATTTAGTCATAGTTAATTTGGACTTGAGTAATCAATAGCTAGTTTACAAGGAATCATTAGATGATTAGAATCATTTAATTATTTCAGTAATATTTTGAACTATTTAAAACCGTATTAGGTCTCAATCCATGTCATCTTTGGGGATGAAATTTAGGACTATTGTCTGAAGGTATATGTAGTACAGCTAGACTTCTGGATTAGAATTTAGTGGTAATCATTTTTAAATGCTATCGATCAGCTAGATTAAACAATCATCCTCCAGTGTAATGAGTCATATGCATCTCACTTCTGACCTCGTTGGTTTTCAAAATTTATAAGTTCTCAAAATGACGTTGACGTATAATGATGGGTAATATAAAACAGATAAATTTCATGATTATGAGAACGCGTAAGATAAAGTGGAGAGGAGAACCATATGGAACATTCTTTGACACTATGACCTACCAGAGAAAATTATCAACACCATACGGAATTCAAGAGACGAATTTCACTGAAAAATCGTACATGGAGAACAGCTGACTGATGTATTCGGAATGAGTATTGGTGTCAGATGAGTCTGCTTAATTTCATTCTTTCTCTTCCATATTGTTGTTAATTGGATTATGAAGACCTTAAAAATGTCAGGGTAAGCACGAAAAGCAATGAACAACAGTTAAACAAGGGCAGGGAGTGTCAAGGTACAGACCAAACACACAGAAGCAAAACAGCGAGTGAAGAAGAGCATTAGAGCTGACAAGCAGAAATACGTGGAAGACATTGCAATCACAGCAGAAATGCTGCAAGTTAAAGAGATGTGAGACGATTATATGATATAACGAAGAAACTAGTAGGGAAATATGGCAAATCAGAACAACTAGTCAAGTGTAAACAAAGCAAGCTTATCAATGTGATTCAAGAACAACGGGATGGGTGAGTAGAGCACTTTGAAGAACTTTCGGAAAGACTAGCTTCACTGAACCCACCGCAATTAAAAACAGCACCTACAGACCTTCCTATACATTTCACTCCATCAACGATCGAAGAAATCATCATGCACATCAGAGTGAGAAAGCAACAGGACATGACAGTATAACACCTGAAGAACTGGAGTCAGACACATAAGCGAATGCAATAAAACTCCATGTTCTTTTCAGGAAAATTTGTGAGGAAGGACAAGTGCCGACAGACTGGAAAGAAGGATACCTCATCAAGAGATCAATCGGAGGAGATCTGGGCAAATGAGAGAACTACAGTGGCATCACACTACTATCGGTACCAGGAACAGTGTTCAATAGAGTGTTACTGAACTGGATGTAAGATTCATCGAATACCAATATATTGGTCAAGATAGTTTTGTTGTACTGAGGTGGAACTCTGAAAACTACCACGGCCATCGTTAAATGTGGACAAATACATGGGTTATGTTAAATCTAATTGTGTTGACCGGCTTACATAAACGCACAAAAGGCACATACATCGGAATAAAAAAGGAGTATTTGTGTCTGCATTTCTGAATATATTTCACAAAAGCTTAGATTAAATGGACATAACGTTTTGCTTGTCATTTACTCGTCGATGAGCACGATGTTGAAATTTCTAAATCTTTCAAAACAATCAATAAACAAAGGAACAAATAATGGTAGGCTTTTTCGAATCTGTGGAAATAAAAAAATTTGAACCTAATGTATGATAACAACAATAAAACATATTCCAAGGGTCTGTTATTAGACAACATCGATCTCAATTTAAATTTGAGATGATCTAGTCTTCAGATTGACAATGGTGGCTTCAAAATCAAATCATCCAGCTCACAGAGTATAATACTTGTAAGAACAACCATCTGAACTAAAAATCTTTTTTATTACTCTAGCACAATATGTACATGATTTGTCGAGCTAAGTTCTTAGTATTCATTGATGAATTGTTACCATGGAAGCATAAAATGCGATTTCTCGTGATTGTGGCATCACTAGAAATATACTCATCAGATTTTTTATACTTTATCAGAAACCGAATTTACTGTAAGGCTATCATAATGAATTTATAGCAACTAGAAAATATTAAAAAGGCTAACCAAGTAACCTCCTTTATTACTCAATGATTGTAATATTTTTAGCTTCAATGTTGATTTTTGATATGGAGAGCCAGTCAGGGGTAGCGTAATGAGAAGATCAATCGATGGCGATCAGAAGTGACCTAAAGAACAAGTCCATTTCAGTAGCTACGAAATGGATCAACTTTCTAAGAATTAGAGTTGTATATATATTAATGAGTATTTGTGTATTTTATCCGGTAGCCTAATCCACTTCCTCTCTCACTCCTGTGTTCTCGCTCAAGTAGTCAGTTAGGGGGTTAACGCGTAGCACACCGGATAACAGTATCAGACTTAAGACACTCTCTGGCATAGCAATTTTCATTATGGTGCACTCAAATCCTAAATAGTTATCATAGACTTGTATGAAAATATAGATTCATTATTTTGACTATTTTAGACTTTCTTAATATTGTTAAAAGGTTTACTTTTTGTTAGGCTTTGTAATGAACCATTCAAACCATAATTTTTCTATGAGTACT